TGTGATAGAGGAATAGGGAAATAGGGAGAAAAAGTAGGTTGGGGGTCAGCAGAGACAAATAAAACAGATTTACAAGCTATTAGTTCAAATAAAAAAAACCAATAAAACAGTTATGTTTTTGTAAATATGCCTTAGAATAGTCAAAAACAGTCAATCCTTTGCATGAGATGTGGTGCTGTGTTTCTCTTCTGGAATCTTTTTCTGCCGCCCTGAGAATATTGTATTAGGGAACAGCTCCCCCTGCTGGGGAGATCCTGAATGTGCATTTTATTCATCCATTATTTTCTAACTGCTTCATCCCATTCAGGGTCGCGGGGGAGCAGGGTCTATCCCAGCAAACAAAAGAAACAAGGCAGGATACACGCTGGACAGGACACCAGACACCAACACACACCAGGGCTAATTCTCCCAGAAGCTACTGTCTTTGGACTGTGTGAGGAAACTGGGGAGAACATACAAACTCCACACAGACAGCACCCCAGGAACTGGGCTCAGGGTCCCAGGGCTGTGTGGCAGTAATGCAACAGCTGTGCCACAGCATTTCATCTCGCCTCTTAATTACTTAATTAAATAAGCAGTCTTTATTTAATGACTATATTATGAATAATGTATATATAATGTAGAAACATATATATATATAATTATACACATACAGTATAATTACAATTAAAGATTATGATGTTAAAATATAATATATACAACTGGCAACCCACTGAAGCTCAGCAGGTGTGAGCCTGGTCAGTACCTGGATGGGAGACCTCCGATTCTTTTTGAGAAACACCCTGGGATTTTTAATGACCACAGAGAGACAGGACCTCAGTTTTAAATCTCATCTGAAGGACGGTGCCTTTTTGATAGGATAGTGTCCTCATTGCTACATTATACTGGACCCAAACAGACCACAGGGTGAGCACACTCTACTGGTCCCACTAACACCTCCTCCAGCAGCAGCCTTAGCTTTCCCAGGAGTCTCCCATCCAGGTACTGGCCAGGTTCACACCTGCTGAGCTTTACTGGGGCTGCCAGCTGGGAGCTGCAGGGTGATATAGCTGCTGGCAATTGCTAATTTGGTTACATTGTTAATGGTTTAATTGGCTTCTGAGTATATGGGCCCTGGTGTGAGTGTATATGTGTCTGTCTGTCCTGTGATGGACTGGCAGTCCAGGGTGTACCCTGCCTTGCACTCGTTGTTCACCAAGATAGACTCTGGCTTCCCTGTGACCGTTAATTGGATTAAGCGGTTCAGAAATACTCTGCTCCAACAATACAAACAGTTCTTTGCATTTCTATTGCCCCTTTTTATCCCAAAGAATCTCATATTGTTTTATGATGGGGCGGAGAGCGGTGGCTCTGTGGCTAAGGATCTGTGCCTGTGGCTGGAAGGTTGCCGGTTCAAATCCCACAGATCCCCTGAGCAAGGCCCTGAACCCCAACTGCTCCAGGGGCGCTGTACAATAGCTGACCCTGCGCTCTGACCCCAAGCTTCTCTCCCTGTCTGTCTCATAGAGAGCCAGCTGCAGTATATGAAAAGACAAATTCCTAATGCAAGAAATTGTATAGGGCTAATAAAGTGATGTTATATTATATGTATAGTTCTTGCACAGTCAGTGTGACAGGCCCGTTTCAGAAGTGCTGCAGTGACAACTGACATGCCACTAGAGGTCGCTGTACCGCCTTTAATCTACTGTACGTGAAGGGTCACAAATGAGGTTTGTTGTAAAATGTGTTTTTGGTTAAGGGTCTATACTTTCATAGGTGTATTTGGGCTTTTGCCTGGTATTAAAAGGGTGTGCCTGTCTCTGGTGGTGGTGGGGTTTTGTGGTTCCTGTTGCTTTGTGCTGCTTGTGACTTGAAAAGGCTGACCTCAGTCTGTGGCCCTAGGGACAGCCCTGCTAGTGTGAGGGTGTGTCACAGCTGTCTGTGTGTAAGGATGGGATTACAGTTCGGGTCAGGGCTGTGATACTCTCGTGCTATCCTCACTGCAGTTAAGAGACCGGGGAAGGATCTTTCCTTTCCTTACCAAAGCCATACAATACCCCGTGCGCACTGTGTTTCTGGAGCGAGGTGACAGACTCGGGTAACTGACTGCACTGTGAGAACAGACGGCATTGTTAGAAAGACATGAGACCAAGGTCCTACAGGGAACAACTCCTGTAAGACAATAATTAGTACAAGTTTAATTAATAAGTACAAATTTCAGACCAAAGAGCTTCACGTACAGGAGGGGACCCACTCCCCACCCTGCAGTGCAGCCCCACCTGGGTGACACTGGTCGTCCAAGAGCTCCACTGCACAGCAGATCGAGTGCAGCGCTGAGAAATGGCTGCAGCAGGGGAGTTCAGGGGGAAATGGGCACAGTGGTGCCGGAGTTAGCACTGTTACAGTACCGTGCTGTGCTGGGGATGTCCTGTGTCCCTGCACCTTTTTTATTACGTCGAAATGTCAAATGCTTGCAGGCCTTAGTCCCACCTCTGTGCCACGTCACAAAATTGCGGTCCTGCAGGAAGAACTCAGGGCTCAATGCGACTTTCTGGACACGGCATGTGTCCCTGGTGTCCTGTCCAGGGTGTGTCGTGCCTTGCGTCCGCTGCTCGTTGGGATAGGCTCTGGCTCACCAGCGACCCTGAATTGCAAAAAGCGGTTCGAAAATAGATGTATTTACGCAGCCCAGAGCAGAACCAGTGTCTCGGTTTATAATTTTATCCAAAGGACACCACTTCCTACAGCAAAGTGTCCCTTGTAACCAACATGGGGCATTTGTCCTGAAGGAAACAGTGCCACCTACTGGTCCACCAACACTGTTCTACAGCAGCAACCTTATTTTTCTTGGAGGACTCCCATCTGAGTACTGTTAGGTCATGCCTAGTTTCAGAGATCTATCGAGAAAGTGCTTCAAGGTGCTAAGCTTGCTATTGGCAGTGGTGCATGTATTGTCACGTCAATGTGACTGTCGTCTATGTCCATGAAGTGACCATAGTACATGGAACCTGTTACAGTAGGGGACTGTAGTAAAAGTACAGTAGGACAGTCCTGTTACAGTGGGGACTGTAGTAAAAGTGCAGTAGGACAGTGCTGTTACAGTGGAGACTGTAGTAAAAGTGCAGTAGGACAGTGCTGTTACAGTAGGGGGCTGTAGTAAAAGTGCAGTAGGACAGTGCTGTTACAGTAGGGACTGTAGTAAAAGTGCAGTAGGACAGTGCTGTTACAGTGGGGACTGTAGTAAAAGTGCAGTAGGACAGTCCTGTTACAGTAGGGACTGTAGTAAAAGTGCAGTAGGACAGTGCTGTTACAGTGGGGACTGTAGTAAAAGTGCAGTAGGACAGTGCTGTTACAGTGGGGACTGTAGTAAAAGTGCAGTAGGACAGTGCTGTTACAGTAGGGGACTGTAGTAAAGTACAGTAGGACAGTCCTGTTACAGTAGGGGGCTGTAGTAAAACCATAGTAGAGAGAGACAGAGAAGGTAACTCAGACAGATATGATAGAAAAGAGGAGTTCAAGTATAGGCAGTGAAGTAGGAGTTTCTTGTTTTAGAGGTTTTGGAAAGGTCACACTCTTTGCCGCGAAGACTTTGATCTTTCACCCCCTTTCAACCAGCCCTGAGGTGTCCTTTCCGAGCTGTCGGCCTCCCTGTCTCTTTCTATATATATTGTTCTCCCTGTCGCAGCCTCCTCCTGTCTGCTCTGAGTCAACACGACCACATGGGGTCTTCAAACGGACTGGCCTGCCCTGGAACTACCTCACACACGCACACACACACACGCACGCACACACGGTCACACGTCTCAGTGTGTCGCAGGCCGGGGAGCCCCAGCTGTGTAAGGGGCTCTCATATCCCTGCGCTCTTCACCGCCCCTCAGTCCAGTGCAGGAGTCGCCTGAGTCGAGCACCACCCCCGGCTCTCAGCCCAGGAAACACACCCGAGACGCAGACTGTCAGCGGGTTTCAGCGCACGCGCAGGCCTCTGTCCGTTGTACCTTTTTTTTCCTGCAATGTTGGAAAGCTGGTCTATGTCAGACTCCCTCGTTTTTCGGCAAAAAAACGAAGAAAGGATCAGCTCGTTATAAAACCCGGCCTTGTTCCGCGAGGGCCGATAGTCCTTCGGTTCTGGCCTCCGGGTCGCGTGTGGGGGCTGTTGTTTTCACCCTCGGGCTGCCGGCGGCGGCGAAGCGGGGCATGGGGGGCGTGGTCGCGGTGTTGTCCCTGGAGACGCGGCGCCGTTTCTCCCGCAGGGGTCGCCGCTTCCTCTCTGAGTCGCGGCCAATCAGCTCCACCAAATACCACCGCTCAGGTAAGGACACGCCCCTCACTTCTTCCCCCTTCCTCTTCGCTCCCTCACCCTTCCTCTTCCTCTCCTTCCTCTCTCCAGATCTTTTCCTCCATCTCCTCCTTTGCTCTCCCTCCTTACTCCTCTTCCTCTTCCTCCTCTTTTTCCTCCCCCTCCTTCGCTCTCCCTTCAGGTCCGGGAAATGTATTACGATCCCTACCTCATCCCCCTCTAAACAAGCCGTTTGTATCTCATGCCTTACCTCCCGGTTTCGTCAGCTGTTCTGCAGCCTCAGTCTGCACGGGCCCTCAGACAGCATCTTTTCACACAGCAGCAGAGCAGGGGCTGCTCGTGCAGTCAGTGGGCGAGGGCAGGAGGGATACTGTTGGAAACTAAGGTCTCGTCTCTCGAGAGACGCTCAGAGCCGCGCCGCCGAATCTCCGTGCAGCATGAAGACGGCCGCACTGCCCGGGAATCGATAGGCCCGAGACATGACCAAACTGGGGTTGGGGTACAGAGCGATCGCGCTGGTTCGAGACGGGTTGGCCATCGGACTGTTCAGAACCGGTGTCGTGTGCTCGAGGTCACACCGGCCTTCTGGACCGTCATGGTCGTGAGCTTTGTGAGATGGGAGCGTGTGACGTCAGTGCTGAGCTCCAGTGAGCTTCTTTATAGTGCTCTGCATGAAGGGAGTGTGTTATGGGTGAGCTGGGCTGAGGTTCTTCACGTTAACTCTGTTCTTCAGATCTCTGGAGGGCGCACTTGGAGTTGCAGACAAGGTTATGAACTATTGTACAGTATGCAGCACTTTTTAAAAAAGGTCAAAGGTCAATACAAAGGTTAAAGCCTCTTTTTCGAATCAATGAGAAGTAAAATAGGAAAATTGGAACATTCAAGAGGTTACAAACGAGAGGAAGCCGTTTGCCCCATCTTGCCCGTTCGGTAATTAGGAGCTAATTGATCTGAGAATCTCATCTGGCTGCTTCTCGAAGGAAGCGAGGATATAGACTTCAGTGACATGGCTGGGCAGCTTGTTCCACACTCCCACAGTAATTTGTGTAAGCTGGTCTTTCCATTCGGCACCCTGCAGATCTTCAAGTACAGTAGTGCATGTAAAATGGTTGTGGCTGAACTAGAGTGAGTTTCCCTCGCCTGCTCCGCAGACCTGCTGGCGGGAGTATTCATGTGGAGTGCCACACCGGGGCAGAGCTAGCCCGGAGAGCTGCGCTGGGTTTCTGCGCGTTACTCTCGCTGGGTCTCTCCAGGGCGATCACACGCTCTGCAGCAGGTGGACCCGCTGCTGGGAAGCTCGCCCAGCTGTTATGGCCAGAGGCCGGGTTCCTGTTGGTGGAGGGGCTGTGTTGATCTGAAGTTACAGGTGAGCCAGACTGCATTTCTTTCCAGAGGTGATGACAGGGGCTTTTTTCCAGAAGGACTGACTGGCCTGCAGCCAGTGCCGCCCAGTATCCCCCCGATATAGACAAAGCGCTTCGCTTCGCTCCATTAATCGTTAAGAGCCCAGCTAATTGTCTGGGCCGAGCCTCCCCAAGGAGGGTCAGCCTTCTTGTGGGTTGATTTATTTCTCAGCTTTCTGCTGACTTTGGGGAAAAGTCTCTGCTCGGGCCGGTGGGAGAGGGAGTGGGAGCAGGGCGGTTTTTAAAAGGCTCTGAGCTTTTTATCCCTGGGACATTACAGCCTGGGGCGGCTGCGTTCCTCGCCGGGGGCACGGAGTCTGGAGTGCGGGGTCTGGAGGGGGGCGGAGGGGAGGAGAGAGGAGTCTGTTCACAGCCCCCGGCTCATGGGTGAGAGTCGGAAACACTGAGAGGGGAGGAGGAGACTCCATAGAGCTGCAGCCCAGCGTGTGATCTCCGGTTCAGAGATCAGAGAACAGAGAGGAAGCCTCTCAATAATAACAATAATATACAAGATAAGAAAACTTTTTTGGCCATATACAATTTCTTGCATTAGGAATTTGTCCTTTCGCACACCCCACAGAGGCGGAGAAAGGGAGATCTGGCAAAGATTCATGAGAGGGCAGGCGGAGCGAGAGTGATCAGGTGAGGGACTGAAAGAGGGTGTAGTTCACACCATGACCACTGGAGGGCACCTCCGCGGGGAAGCGGCAGCTAATGGAATTCAGTACTGACAGACCCCCTGGGTGAGAGGGTCTGATGCGTTGGTGTCTGCTAGGTTTTGTGCTTGTTGTGTTGCGGGTGTATTGACGTAATGTTAAGGCTGACTGTGATATCCTGTATTTTGCGGTTTCCCAGTTGGTTATTGTGTCAGCAGTTAAAAGCATGTTAGTGTTTTAATGACGCCGTCCTCCTCTCCTCTTCACCTGAAAGCCATCACTCACTTGCACATCCTGTCATCTGATGAAAGAGTGTGGTTATTAGCTGTCTGTATACTCCTTTCCTCTGTCTCTACTCTGTCTCAGCATCTCTTTCTGTTTCTCTCCATCCTTCTTTCAACCCAAATCACAGGCCTGTATTGCCGTGGCCATAGCAATTCCCTTCAGCAGCAACAGGTGACTCACAGCTACGGTGCTAAGCAAAAGACTTGAATGTTCTCTCCCTCGATAGGATCCTAAATACTTCCCTTGACAACAGTGCATTGCTCTACAAGCAACAGTGGAATCTGACCTCACAAGAGAGTGATCTGCCCTCAGAGGGCTCTGCACAAGATAGGGATCTGCCCTCAGAGGGCGCTG